GAGCCAGCTGTACCCGCCCCCTCCCCCGTCCGTTCCGCCAGTCAGTGCTGGCAGATCGGAGCGGGGAGAGGGGAATCCAGCCCCTCCCCTGTCACGGCAGAGAGCCGTGACAGGATCGAGAGGTGAGCGAACCTGGTATGTGTTCGCTCACCTCCCGATCTACTGAGCCGACCTGTGACAGTCTCATTGTCACAGGTCGGCTAGAACTATGAGGTGAGTGGAAATCACTCATCTCATAGTTCTCCTTTAACCACTGTCCTAAGATCATTAGTCTGTACTGTTTTAGAAAAACTGTCACATGACGCTGAAAGGTAATTTGTAACGGTAATTACTTGAGGAAAAGTATCGTCACTTGTACTCGGTCTGGAAAAAATGGTATCACTGAATCCCTAGTTTTAACCTTTTTCCAAAAACAAAGAAAAAACAAAACAAAAAAACAACCTGCTTTTGTAACTGTTTAAAACTATTAGCTGGAGTTCTGCTTTCATTTGTTTGTGTATTACATGTCTACCCAAGACTATCCTGTTCACACGGTGCCAACACTGCAGCTTGATTTCCCTGCCGAGTTGTCACCCTATTAGCACAAATGGAAAAATAACGGATCTACTAGCAAGGTCAACAGGTAATACAACTACGTTACAGTAAAGACTAAGTAAAGCAAAACCTTTGTTGATGCTGGTGACAGACTGTATCCTATTTATGTCATTTTTTAATTTTGTCCATAGTTACACTAAGTACTGCCCACGGCAACCAATCAGGCTTCCTGGTTCTCTAATTCACGCTTTGGTTTTTTTTACTGGCCCCTAGGTCACAGCAAGATACAATAGAAGGAACCACAGCATGCAGTGGGGCACCAGGCATCTGACACACCCGGAGAAATGATGGATGCTGAAGATTCCCCAGTAAACTTAGCATTTCAAGAGGGCAAAGATTAGCGGTGTGGGCAGAATGAGGGCAGAATGATGATGAGAATTCTTTCCTCTTCAGGGAGCCTTATCCTTTTTTTTTATAGTGACAAAGTCACTTTAAATGTTTAATTAGCTATATGGCAGCCATCTTTATCACCTTAGAGCAGGGAGTAACAATCAGGGACTCCATTCCTGAACGAGCATTGTAACTTTTTTGCTTGCAAAATCCTGGATCGATGACATAAATGATCCCTTCTATGGTCAGTGAGGTCTCTGCAATGTTGGTGGCTACAACAACCTTGAGGAGAGAAAGAAAGAAGATAAAATAAAGACAGATATTCACTCTCCTGGCTGTCTCAGCTCCTGCTAGAGGAATGATTCATTCTGTCCTCCATTTTGTTCCCCTTTGCTAATAGACACTACCTTTCTGGCTCCGGGAGGGGTGGGTTCAAAGATCTTAGCCTGCATGTCAGATGGTAAGTTGGCGTATATCGGTAGAATCAGCATCTCTGCTATCTTGTTACCAAGCCGACGGCACCGTTCCTGTAACATCTCAACACACGCCTCAATCTCTTCCTGAAATAAACGAAGCGGTGACAAATTCAATGACTCCCAGTCCATGGAATAATTGCTTACACAGCTGATGTTCTGCACCCCTAGTGGTGGCTGTGTGCTTAGACCAATACTTCTCATCCACTCACCTACCACTAACACCAATGATCCTTTTCTGTAAGGGGTTAATTCTTCTCACCACCCACCAATGTACGAAGATTTCTTCTCACCGCCCACCAATGTACGAAGCTTTCTTCTCACTGCCCACCAATGTACAAAGTATTCTTCTCACTGCCCACCAATGTACAAAGTATTCTTCTCACTGCCCACCAATGTACAAAGATGTCTTCTCACCGCCCACCAATGTACAAAGATTTCTTCTCACTGCCCACCAATGTACAAAGCTGTCTTCTCACTGCCCACCAATGTACAAAGATGTCTTCTCACTGCCCACCAATGTACAAAGATGTCTTCTCACTGCCCACCAATGTACAAAGATGTCTTCTCACTGCCCACCAATGTACAAAGATGTCTTCTCACTGCCCACCAATGTACAAAGATGTCTTCTCACTGCCCACCAATGTACAAAGATGTATTCTCACTGCCCACCAATGTACAAAGATGTCTTCTCACTGCCCACCAATGTACAAAGATGTATTCTCACTGCCCACCAATGTACAAAGATGTCTTCTCACTGCCCACCAATGTACAAAGATGTATTCTCACTGCCCACCAATGTACAAAGATGTCTTCTCACTGCCCACCAACGTACGACGCTTTCTCCTCACTGCCCACCAATGAAAGGAGGCACTACACTGACCACCAATATAAAGGTCACTTCTCCACGGATCATCACAGGAACGCAGTACTTTTCCACTGACCCCAATGTGAGGGAGCATTACAATGATCATGCTCTTCACTTTTCTGGCCGGGGCTGTGCATGTGCAGCTCAGTGTACATTCAGGAGAAACAAAACTGTCCAAAACATTTAAACCAGCTCTGCCTCCCCATATGCGATGTGCATGCCTTGTTGACCACGGTGCTTAGAGGAGTTTCCTATCCAACCTTAACATCCATCAATGAGCAATAACCGGCACACCAGCTGGGTTCATTCCATCTTGACATAAAAACAGCAGGCAAGCAAATTCTGACGCGTTTCAGCCCAAACAATGGGCCTTAGTCATAGGTATGTTTAGGCTGAAATGTATAAGATTTTCTTGCCTAGTGTTTTTATGCCAAGATGAAATCAAAGTGTTTTTAGAAGGAACCCTGCTTGTGTACCGGTGACTGCTCATTGACATATAGGAGGAACATTGCTGGCAGACCAGCAAGATGCTTTTATTGCAGAAGACACACACAGAGTCACTCCTGCAATAACAGCCTGCCTGTCAGCAGTGTTTCATTTGACAGCTATAGTTCCACTTTCAAGTGATTCTTTCCTGAAAGAAACACTGCGGCTGCCACTGTTGACTCATTCTGTGAACCCTAGTTACCTGGCTGTCATGTGGACCTTCTGGATTCAATGCTATAGACCCAGGGTTGTCCCTATAATGGGCAGCCTGAGGCGGTCACGTCAGGCAGCATCTCTTTAGGGGGGTGGCAGGTGAGAGGGTTTGGGGGAGAGTGGCAGAGCTCTTAGCAACCTGTGGCACTCTGTCTGGCTTCCCCACCAGCTCACTGACTAAATCGGTGGCCAGGGAGCCGAGCGGGATGCTCTTGCTGGCGTTCGCTGCGCTCCTGGCAACCAGTGACATCATGAGCTTGGTGGGACCGGACACAGAGCCACTGACAGCATGGCTGTAATACAGCTACCCGTCCCATCAGCCACAAAAGGGAGGGGTGGCCCTGCATAAGCCAGTGACCAAAATGCAGTAGGCCAACAAGGATTTCTAATCTTCCTGATCTGTGTACTAATGCTGGGTCAGTGCATAAGAAATCCGACAGTCGGCTCTACAAGTTTAAACAGAGTCCCGGCGGCAAAAGTCGCCGGGAGTCTGTTTAAACAGCCCCGATGCTGGCGACGTACACTGTATGTCGTCAGTCACGAAGGGGTTAAAGTCAAAGTCAGCATGAAAGCCAAAGCTAGCATTTTTTAAAGGTGAGAATTGGCAGCCCCTATATTTTTCTTAGCAAAGTTTTAGGTTCAATGCTCCGTTTCTAATAATAATGGCTCCCTACATAACCCTATTGGCTCAAAGGCAGCATAACAGTTATAAGAGCTGTAACACTCATCATGGCGAAATATATTTATGTACCTACCTGGCCTGTCAAGAACACCAATATATCTCCAGTTGGCTGCGTGACATGAATCTGAAGGACGGACACCACGCATGCCTCTAAGTAATCAGCCTCGGGGGCCTGCAGAATAGAGTGACAAGTGAAAAGCGGCATAATTAACATGTAATGTAATGACACTCCCACAAATTGCAAAAACAAGAAACCAGTATATGCCTGCACTTCCAGTACCTAATATAACAGAATGCACATGAAAGATGCAGTGTTCTATAGGGCATTGCACTTTGCTTCCTGTTCCAGTTATTTCAACATTTAAAGTAGTACTGGGTATAGGTAGGATGGGCATTTTTTACCCTAATGCATTCACTGCATTAGGGTAAAAAAAATGCCCAATACTTTTTCTATCCCTCGTCCCCCCCACACTTATCTGTTAACACCGCTGCCGGTCCCGAAGTTATCTTCAGTTCCCCGAACATCCTGGTTGCAGAGGAGGATACTGAGGGCAAATGAGCCATAGGCTCCTTCTGCCATCAGTCAAAGTGTGACTGTGGGAGCGGGGGGCGTGGCTTGCCACTATGGACACACACAGCTACTTGCGGGCACGGCCGGGAGCATGCACGCACGGGTGCCTCGACAGCAGCCGGCTAGCTGATGGAGGCACCCATGCATGGGGCGGGAGGGAGAGCGATGTGGGGTAACCACTAGAGAACGAGAAATTGGACATTTTTAAACAGGATTTGTATAATTGCATTCTCTGCATACAGGTAAAAATCGCCCAGCACTTTTCCCAGTCCCTAAACCCTTACCTCCGCCGGGTCCAGCAAGATATTTCTGTTCCCTGAACTTCCTGTTTGTGGGGAAGGGGACCAAAGGCAGAGAAGCGATGGGCTCCATCGGTGTGAGAGCAGTGGAGGGAGCAGGGTCGTGGCTCACCGCATGCTGTGTGTGTTTATGGACATGGATGTCTCCTCAGCAGCTGGCTAGCTAAAGGAGACACCTGCAAACAGGCTGTGGGGGAGTGATTTGGGGACTAGTTGGAGGACGAAGAAGAAAGGCACTTTAAAGAAGAACACCAAAATCATGTAAGTGTGGGCCTTCTCATCATAAAAAGAAAGAAAAAACCCAAAAGGTTTAATATCACGTTAAATCTTTCAAATCTATTGACATTGAAAGATTTGACTGCAGTCAAATTTTACAGTTGTCACTGGAACAGGAACGAAGGGAAAATCCTCCAATAGGAACATCTGTTCCAATGGCAACTAAGTGGGGTTTTCCCCTCACATTAAAAATATTTAAAGCTGAACTCCATGTAAAACCATAATTGTCTAGTCACAAGAGCCATGTCTGTACTTGTTTGAATCTAGGTGCTCTTTGTGCATTTCTTCTAGATCTGTGCAGTAACCCATGAAACAATTATAGCGCTTTGACTCTGTGCGGGCGTTTCCTGTAATGAAGACCAGACAGCGCAGCTCTCTCTTCTTGTGCAGGGTGACTGGTCTTGACCCCGCCCCCTCCAGGAGTTTTGCGCAGGCTGGCCTACATTTGGAGTCCCTCCCACGGCTCTTCTCTCTGTATGCAGCACAGAGATATCACAGTTACATTTACAGGGCAATATCTGGATTTAAGAAGGGATTTGGTGCATACAAAATAAATGTAAATACCATGTGGCTAATAAAATATATATTTAACTTAATGTATTTGTGCGCAGAGTTTAGAGATTTTTCTTGAAAGATTTGTCTTGCTTCTGGTTGTATCTTGTGGCAGCAATCAATCTTGCTGAGATCCAAGTGAAGGGAACCCCAACAAAACAAAGCACATCCTCTCTCCAGCCATTATCCTTTTGTATCATTTGCCCCTATCAACTGAGCTGCCTACCTTGGTGTAGTAGATGTCTACAGGGTACCGACGGCCAGGAATTCGGAAAACGGGTGCATCGTCAAAGAAAGAAGAAAAACGCTCAGTGTTCAGAGTGGCGCTGGAGACTAGGACCTTGAGGTCCGGTCGGAAACGGGCAATATCCTTAATGAGGCCAAACAGCACGTCTGTGTGTAAGGTCCGCTCGTGGGCCTCATCTATAATGATTACACTGAAAAAAAACATGAAATGTATACGTTTACTCGGATTAAAGGAAACCTTTCATAACCATGTCTCATTCTGCTAATTGCCTGGCTGTGATGCTGAACCTCTTGCCTCAGTATACTGTGTCACATGCCTGGAACAAACATAAGCACTTATGACTATTCTGAAATGCATATACACTGAGTGGCCAATTTATTATGACCACCTGACGTTTGTAGGCAAATTAGCTATAATTAGCTATAATTTTGCGCTGAAGTTGCTAGAGGGCCAGACCATTATAAATAGGGAAGCAGGTTGTTTACCACGACAGTAGAAGTGATTTTTTTCGGAAGATACGGTTAAACAACGCGATTTGACAGCCTTTGAACGTGGGATGATTGTTGGCGCTCGGAGCCATGGAGCGAGTATCAGCAAAACAGCAGAATTCGTTAAATGTTCAAGAGCAGCTGTTGTTAAAGTGTTTAAAGACTGGACTGTCAGCCAAAAATTTGGGTCTGAACGTGCGAATTATGGCCGTCAGCGACTAGTCAATGTTAGGGCAGAACGGAGAGTGGCAAGACTGGTACAAGACAACAGAAGGGCAACAGTGCCGTGTCAGATTCCTCGCATCACCTTTCATCATCTCGTGGAGTCACGAGGCGGCCCAACTAAGTCATCTCGTGGAGTTATCTCGTGGCCCAACGAAGTACTGATGGGGTGGTCATAATAATTTGGCCACTCAGTGTATAGTCCATGTCAAGGACTCATAAAATAGTGACGCCAATGGGCCAGTGTAATAGCAAAGCAAATCGCTTCTTCAGAAGCAACAATGGCTCCTTGTAGAAAGGTCATAACAGTGTGCATATTGTTTTATACATTACGATCAGTGATATTTCTCTGAGCACAGGCTCACTTTAAGCATATTTACCAGGGAAGGAAGATGGGGGACAAATCAAGGTGGGAGTTTCTTGCTGTATTAGAGGTCAGTATGTTATACCTGTAACCTGCCAAGTCTGGTTCTGTGAGGAATTCACGCAGCAACATCCCGTCAGTCATATACTTCAATACAGTGCGCTCAGACGTGCAGTCCTCAAATCTAATGCTGTATCCCACCTGGAATTGGAAAGAGAGGAAGAAAGAATTATAGAGACACTGGGTGCTCATGCTTTTTCTGACCCAAACTAAGGCCCCATTCACATTGAGCGATTCGCAAATCGCGTTTGTCGCGCGATATTGAGCAACCTAGAATCGCGGCAAAATCCGCTCCAAAAAGGGTCCTGCTGTAGCGACGCACGACCCGCGACAGCGACGGACAGAGCCCCATTGGATTGCATTGGAGAGCGATATCGCGCAGTAAATAGCCGCGATATCGCGGGAATTACCACGTGATAAATCGCTCAGTGTGAACGGGGCATTAGAGGTTACTAGTGAATAATGGCAGATATAAACAGGTAGTTTAAAGTGTATGTAAACTCCCCACAAAACATATCTTTGATAAGTGCCACTGTTGATCCTGCCTGGACTTCCTGCTGATACTACTTGTGCTGCATTGATATCAAAAGCAATGTTATAAGCCCTACTCAGTTCCCCTCTGTGCACGACAGTACCACAGTATTTTTTAGAGATGAGGAGCATGGTAGGAGCTCAGTAATCCAACTAAGGTGTGAGCTGCCTATGGTAACAATGCTGATCCTCCTTAGAGACAGTACAAATAGTGACCGTTGTCACCCTAGGACAGGAAGTGTGTTATTGGCAGATCACCAGATGTAAATAAAAGGGATAAAAAAAAAAAAGAACACTCACGCAGCCACTACATCTAAAAACTGGTAATATATTCAATGTTTTCTCCTGGGTTTAAATACACTTTACTAAACATTGATCTATTGCATCTACCTCCTACTAGACACTACACAATAAATATCCAAAGTCTAGTTCAAAAAGAACAGACCACAGTATATGCCAGCTATCAGGAATACAGACAAAACCAAAAAAATGACATAATAGGAGGAGAAAAAAAAACACAATATACAGTCATGGCTTTATCACCTCATTGCCCAGTTTGACAGACATCTCCTGTGACACTCGAGCTGCTACACTCATTGCTGCTACTCTTCGAGGCTGCGTGCATCCAACCTTCATCCCATTACGAGTGTAACCCTGCACAGGATGGAGAAGAAAAACAGAAACATTTCATATTCTGTGACACATTCAAATGAAACTATGAGAACGCAAAGTGTGATCTGCCATTGCTGACTTGTTCCAAAACAAGTCTGGAATGGCAGCTCCAGTATTTCTCTCTTCACGGGTTTCCTTAGAGAGACACTTGCATTCAGGGCCAAGTCATAATGTCTGTGAAAAAGCCCTTCTCGATCCACTGAGACCAAAATACTCAATGTTAGATGGTGTCGGAACCTAGGGGGAAGTGTGAGGTCACCTCTTCTATCATACAACAGTGGACAGTTGACTAGTAAATAGCTGCCAACCCCAAGCACGGTCACAAGGAAGATAGTACAAAGCTCCCTCCTTCAGCAGTGGGGAAATCATTGTGGTGGTGGTGGTGGGGGAGCTTTTCACAGGCACCATTCATTTGCTATGATTGTGGCAGCATCTTTATAATCTCAGTATAACCAAATTGATTGCGCTAGGAAAATGTGAAATTAATAAATAAATGAGTGAATAAATAAATGAATAGAATAAAATAAATTGAAAATTGAAATAAGGTACCAGCTGCAACAATGTGTGTCAAAGTGATCAATTGTAAGCTAATATGTTGCGCTTGGTATGTGTATACAACCTATTGTGTTCTCTAATGTGCTATAATCTAAAAAGTTAAATCACCGATGATATATCAAATCGTGTCTATTGTGAGAATATTGCAAAATGCTGTTTAGATCTTAAATTCATGAATGAGTGATCGGAACAACTAAATTATTAAATAAATTAATAAAAATGAATAAATGAAATAAAATATAAAAAATACCTTGTGTCGTCTATTAATAATCCGTCTCAAATTTGCGATAGTGGTTTGTGTGTAAAACAGCACATATGTGATCTTAATATGAAAAAATCAACTGTGTGTAAAATTGTGTAACAACATTATAATCACATTAAGCAATGTAGGTAAAACAAGGTTAATCACCAAGGAATAATTATTGAACGGAAAAAGTCCAGCAGAGGTAGCGGCAAGTGGACAAACCGCTTTCTATCCACTCTATTTTCGTACAAGTATTATAGGCATACAAATTCTTGGGATCAGTCTGTGCTAATCCGCAATGTCTCAGTAAGAAATTGGACTTCTGGGAGGGATAGAGTTCTTAAAATCAGAGCTACTGATATTAAAAAGGGAAAAAATGATAAGTTGAATATAAGCAGGTGTTTATTACTTTTTCTTCCGTCGATGGATCCACGGAGCTTCTATTTTAGCCTCTCTCTCCTCTCCTGCATACAGCTTACACTCCCTCTCGGTACCGATGGTACACACCCTCCAGGTGTGGTTTGGAGGTAACCCCGGAGAGTCCAGCCAGAGAAAATATAAAGGGAGAAGCCACAGAAGGGAGACAAATCTAAGTGCAAATAGCAAACACTTTTATTTAGATTTTAAAATTGATTGCACTTACAGGAATCCGTTTGCTGACACATGAGAAAGGCTTCACAAGGCTGAGTGTCCTTAACACTCGCACGCTGTTTTATACAAACAGATTCCTGTAAGTGCAATCAATTTTAAAATCTAAATAAAAGTGTTTGCTATTACACAGCGCCCGGCTTCCTGATTGGCTGGCCAGACGGCTGGGTACAGCAGGAAGGCCGCGTTCTTTGCTGGAGAGGCCCCAGGGGTGACAGGCTGGAAATGCCAAGGTAAGAGGGGACAGACTTTCTTGTTAATCAGGAAGCCAGGTGGCGTGTTATTACACGCCACCTGGCTTCCTGAATGGGACTTCCGTTACTCGGTAATTGGTATCGGCGAGTATCTCTGTACCAAAATACCGGTATCGGTGCATCCCTACTCACTATGGTGAAATACAGAGAGTGACACTACCTACGGGCAACAAAGACAGCAAAAACAAACTGGAGAGGGGTTCTAATCTTTCCCCATTTTAAAGCAGAAGTAAACCACTGACCGAAAAAAAAAGAAAAAGCAGGAGCTGTTTGGCGTCATGTGCTAGTGTGCACAGCATATTACCACAATACGGCAGATAGCAAAGTGATTCTCTCCAGCACTGTGATGTCAATGTTCCCCTCCATTGCCGACACTTCCACCTTCTCCCAGTCTTCTTCTTCATTCAGTGTCTTTGGATGCTTGATTGTCTGGGCCTGGATGATGTAACTCCCAAGCATGCACACAGGAGTTACTTCTTCCCAGCAAAGAATGGTGCAGAGACTGTACACTGAGCTGCGCATGCAGGGCTTAGTGTACTCTAATAGCACTTTTTTTCGGACGGGCAGGTAACAGTATCTCTTCTATCATAAAGCATCTGCCTGTTGGCACTTTTTAAAGAAAGACTTTACTTCCACTGTTAGGCCCCGTTCACACTGAGCGATTTATCGCGCGGTAATTCCCGCGATATCGCGGCTATTTACCGTGCGATATCGCTCTCCAATGCATGGCAATGGGGCTCTGTCAGTCGCTGTCGCAGGTCGTGCGTCGCTACAGCATGGCAATGGGGCTCTGTCCGTCGGTGTCGCGGGTCGTGCGTCGCTACAGCAGGACCCTTTTTGGAGCGGATTTTGCCGCGATTCTAGCTTGCTCAATACAAGCATTTGCCCGATATCGCGCGACAAAAGCGCGATTTGCGAATTGCTCAGTGTGAATGGGGCCTAAGGGGTAAATGATAGGGGGCAGGCCTAGGGTCAGGAGAGGCTGCTGGTTAAATCACACATTGACAAAAGTCAATGTTTTACATACAGTCCGCTCTTAGGATCCAAGTGGAGTTCATATGTATCGATCTAAAGAGTAACTGAGCTATTTGCGGGCACCACAATGTTTAGCACTACAGCACTACTGTTACCTTAAAAACATATATCAGTCAGGTACACTTTTACACAGCAGGTTATATATATCAATTAATGGGGATCTGCAAATACATCAGCACAAAAAATAGCATGTAATCAGAAAGAAGAGAATTGGAAGTATCAGCTACTCACTTCTTCATGTAGATACTGTGGGATCTGAGTTGTCTTGCCAGATCCAGTCTCGCCTTCAATAATGAGGATTTGATGCTCAGCGATGGCTTTCAGTAGATCTTCTCTATATGGGAAGACAGGAAGGCTGCGGCGCACCTCTTGCATGGACAATTTCTTTTTTTCCAACTCTGAAAGTGCTTTTGCCTCTTCGTCTTCCTGACAAGTTAGGAAGAAAAATAAACATGCTTAAAGTGACACTAATCTCAGGAGTTAAATCTTATAAATGCATTGAGGTACCTTAACTATTAATAAAAATGTATGTTATTTGTGTATCACTCGGCTGTAGATCCTCAAATCATCTCTGAATTGGTGCTGACACTGTCCTTCCTTCTGGAGGGTGACTACTTGTGTTCCCCGTGGTCGCTGAGTGTGTTGTAAAGTAGTCACCGCTCCAAGCTCACTCCCGTGATGGACTACAATCTCAATACAAACTAGTAAACTAAACATGAGATCGTAGTCCATCACGGGAGTGAGCTTGGAGTGGTGACTACTTTACAACACACACAGGGACCATGGGGAACAAAAGTAGCACTACATATGTGCTAAAAGGTTCTTTAAGGTTGTTGGCTTGCCGTTTGGAAACATGATGGCTGAAAGTATTTGGGCAAAGATGTAAAGAGATACTTTGCTGGCCAATGTATATTTGTTTGATCTGGATTAATTACTGAAAAATATTTGAGAGTTTAATAATACTACTTTAATGACATTGTAGAGACCAAGCCAGCCAGGGTCGGATGAGCCACCCAAGCACAGGTCATGAGTTAGAGTGCAAGTAGGCAAGTCAACAACCCTAGGGCATAAGTAGAGCTACTTTTGTTCCCCATGGTCCCTGTGTGTTGTAAAGTAGTCATAATGTATAATCCATTTTTATTAATTTAACAAGCATATAAATAATCACAAAACACTTTACTACAGCCTCATCATGGGGAACAAAAGTAGCCACCCTACAGAAGGAAGGACAGTGTCAGCACCAATTCAGAGATGATTTGAGGATCTACAGCCGAGTGATACACAAATAAGAAACATTTCTGTTAATAGTTAACCAGTTGCTGTCTGCACATAGTAAAAATACGGGTGGATGGCGGATGCTTCCCAGCGGGTGGACGTACATTTACGTGATTTTTTTTCTGTGGGCGCGTGCGAGCAGGATCCCGCTGGGAATCTAAACAGCTGCTACTGGCTGTCACATACAAGCGTTCGGCCGGCTCTTCAGCCAGCTTATCGCTTGTATGACTGCAAGTAGTGTCCCCTCTTCCATTGCCGTGCTTGACCCCCCCCCCCCCCCCCCCCCCGCTCCCCCGCGCCCCGCCCCCCCCCTTT